CATGCCACAATTTCCGTTCACAATCGATTTGGCTTGCTTGGCATCCCGAAGAGATTTCTTGAAGTTGGATAAATGGATTGATGATAAATTATCGCAGCACGGTGTAAGACATTTTACTGACATCCCTGTGAATGGTGTTTTTTATTGTGATGATCTCGGAATGAAGTGAAAGCTTTCACTTCTCATTTAAAAATCTCAAAAATTGGGAAAAGAGTTGCACTTTCTGAAGGTTTTTACTTGCCCGGTTGCAGGATGCTTTTGCTTCACAGATAATCAGTTTCATACGCCGAAGGATGCCAACAGGGGTGATGAGTAGCTGTGTTTTACCGCAGGATACGATGAAAATTTTGTTGAGTGCGTTGGGCAAGGCCACATGCATGTCAAGCACAACAGTGAATGAATTAACAAACTTGTATGTGCATATCGAATCACAGAAGGTTCGTTTTCTTCCCTTCTTTATCCATTTTTTAGGGGTTGTGCGTTTGCTTAGCATCTTAGAGCTTTCAGTTTTTGGCACCTGAATTGGGATATGAATTACTCTTCTAGCCCCGGGATTTTCGCTTTCGTCTGTGAAATCATCATTCTCCTGTATAGATCGGTAGTATTTTCCTGACCGTACGAAAAAAATTGACTTTTGAAGTTGATTTTGAAAAGAGATGAAAATGTTCTTGAAACGAAAGGATTGGGACTCACGGCATAGGCTTTTTTGTTGAAAGCTGTTATTTAACTTATTCGATTGCGTTTTGAATTTACATGGCTTTTGCTCGAGGGGGAATGATAGAATTTGAGGACTTCTGGTCTTTCCTTGATCTATCAAAAGAAGCCTGTTGCAAAGTCCCAGTCAGTTATCTGGTCTTGGTGCAAAAAGGCAACGAATTGAGCAGTGCCGAGAGGCGACGTGGTACAAACTTTAGCTGCCGAAAGAAAAAATCCGGGGGGATTTTATGCAATTTAATTGATGCCTTTGAGACGTGGAGCATGGATGACCCACTTATAGTGCGCTTGGGGAGCGTTTTTTTTCTTAAATTTTTTAAATTTTGGGTTAATTTTTAAGGCACTGAAAAGCGGTCAGGCTAGTAGTTCAAGTGGCAGCATATCAACGTCGCGGGCGCAGCTAAACATCAGCGGGTCTGCGCATGCTCCTACCACAACGGGCATGTTTGCTAGCGGTTTGAGTACCACTTCAAGTGCACCAGTGCAACAACAACAGCAGCAGCAGCCCCCGGGTATTAGTTTTGCTAGCAGTTTTCCACTTGGAACAACAGGATTCGGCACGACAAGTCGCGAAGTGCTTGGTAAGTTTTCGTTACGTTCTCTTTCGGGCTGTTTCTTACAATCCAAGCCTCTTGTAATACTATGTGAAGCATTCTGCAGAATCCGGAAAATCAAGAAATGTCTCCTCTGGCGTATTTCATTTAGTACATGTTGCAGCAAATGGCACCAGTGTAACTGGAAAGTTTGCCCAGCTTTCTTCAGCTGCCTTAATCGCTGATTTTACGTCAGTAAAAATTTCAAATATAAAACAGCAGTTGTTACGATCATTCTTCGCTCTTTCTTCACAAATTTCAAAAGGCTTTGTTTTGCGCAGAATAGAATATCAATGGTTCTTCCACCATTAATTCTTTTCAAATACCACAAAACTTTGTTTTAAGCAAAATAGAATATCGTTTATTTTCAATACTTAGCCAAACAAATAGTCTTTTAAATCCACGTGAAAATAACCATAGATGGTTTCAAGACGGTTCTCAAAGCTAGGTTTTTAAATCTAACAAAACGAAAGATTTAAATTAATACACAAAATCATTATACGAGCACAAATTTATCATACCTATAACAGTACTAACAAAGTACAAATTCAAAACAATATCATTACTTTTAATAACACCTCTGTCTACACCTGATATGTGTATAATCTCATAAGTCTTCCATTTTTTCTTGTAGAACTTTGGAGTTTTTTGTTTACGGATGTTTATGATTCTTCTACTGTCGAAACATTTTCCACCCTCCCCCCCCCCCCC